AGTAATTTAGAATCTCACATATTTAATAAATGTGGAAGTTATGAGGGAATCTATATATTATTTTATGTATGATACAAGATGAAATAATTAATACGCAAATAACTATATTTTATATGATTAATCTTTGTATTACTAATAATACTTGCATAATTGCTAATGTTAGGTAGATGGATAAATAACAAGTTATTCATTTATCAATTTTTGTATGACTAATACGATGTTTGGTGTATAGATAGGAAATAAGTTATTTTTATGTATAAAACTTATATAACGTTTGGTTAACAATTTATAACCCGCATGACTAATACATGTACAAGTTTTGAGAGAATCTATGTGAAATTATTTTATGCAGGACAAAAGGTGGACTGACTAAATTTTGTGTAACTAATACGTGTATAAAGTAATACATAAATTCACTCATAATTAATCATTGCATAACTAATACCTACGTAAATTAATAATACGTAGATTTAGTCATTACTAATCGCTACACTACTTATACATGCATAACTCTAGTCAACTACCAAATGGTATTACGATGCATTTTGGTATTTCTTGAGGAAGGCCAAAGATCGATACTTGATATCAACACCCTCTAAGTCAAGTTTGTCGCACTAAATTTATCTAGTGCAGTTTATATTTCATGTGTGATTTGCAAGCTACTGTACATAAACAGTTTAACGCAACATATATGTATCCCAAGAATGGTGGATGTGGGTTTTCCTAAGAATTTCAAAACAATAACTTCGTTATGTGCTTGACATAAAAAAAATCGTTAATCTTATTATATGATAAATTATTAGAAAAAATTAATAATTATAAACTATTTAATGATATATTATTGGTTAGTTCCGTAACTAAATCTTTTTTCCCTTTTTATTATTATGTATATAGGTGAGTATTAAGGGACTGTTTGGTTGATCGGATAAAAATAATAATTTGAAATATTTTATGAGATTAACTTATCTCGTATTTTGATAATGAGTATTATTTAATTGCATTAGATCAATTATTTTATTCCATCATTATAATAAATAGTAAAATAAGTTATCTCATATAAAAGGTGGGATAAAATAGTCTCACCGAATATCCTCGTCTATCATACTATCTTGCCCATCAACCAAATAACCCCAGGAATTGTTTGATCGATGGATAAAAATAATATTTTCGAGATATCCGATAAGACTATTTTATTCTGCATTTGAAAATGAAAATTATCAAATTTAGAGATTATTTTATCTTATCATTTTAATATAAATAATAAAACAAGTTATCGCATGTAAAATATATATACTAAAAATATTTATCTATCTCATCCCACCGACTAAACGACTCGAAGTCTTCACCATCTTTGAAGAAGGACACAAGCAAAACTGAAATCTAATCTTCAAGTAAGATGTCCCAACATCAATTATAATTCTGCTCTCATAATAGCATGTTCTCCACTTTATACTTCCTAATATTGTTCTCTTTCTTGTTCATTGTCCATCCTTCCCTTTTCCTATTTAAGTAATCAGCGATAAAGTCAGAAATTTATTTTAAAAAATCTAAATATATATTCACGCTGAAAATATAAATCTCTCTATACTAGAATCTTTTTAATTGTTGAAATCCAATTTTGACCTAACATTTTAATAATTCGTGATTTTGAAGCTTTGTTTATTTAATAGCAAATTTTTGTCCGATGATTTTAAAATTCATACATTTTGAGTCAAATACAAAAAAAATGTCTTTCCCACATTGTCTCTCAAACAATTTTCAATTTTGCAATAGTCCCACATCGTTATTTCATCCTTTTTGAGGATTTTTGGGTTTCTATATAAGCCCACTTCATTCACTATTTTTAGGGGAGGATTTGGAGGGGAAAAACAAAAGAATACTCATAAAAATTTGAGAATTCTTGGTTCCCATAGTTCAAAAATTTTAAAGTGTTTTTGTGGTTTTTCGAGTTGAGGAGGTGGAGTCGTCTCTTTCAAATTCGGAACCAGGTAATTTTTTTTTAGCCTTATTTTATTTAATTCCTAGCTCTTTTATGTTATCTGTTTATTATATGTAGCTTGTTTTGTTTTTTTAGTTTAATGTAGTTCTAAAAGTCAATTAATATTTGTGTTTATTGTAGTTTTAATATTAGTATTATTTTACGATTTGATGTTTATTTCTTATTACTATTATTTTAAAATTGTTAGTTAACTATTTGCTATCTTAACTTTTCAGGGTTTTGTTATTATTCTACTTTAATGTTACTTTTAATTTTTATATATATTATGTTATTGTTGTTTCCATTTCTAATTATGTTATTTTAGTTTGGTTGTTGTTTTCCATATTCTCTTGGGATAAGTTTGTTATGTTTTGTTGATGTTCAGTTTATATATTTTATATGTTGAAAGGGCCAATGAGAAAACTCTCCGTCGGTTTTGGAGGCCTTCCCATTTAAAAAGACGGAAAATTAGTTAAGTTCATATTATTTATTTTGTTAAATTGGGCCGATGAAAAATCTATCCGTCGGGTTTAGAGGCCTCCCCATTTTCAAAGACGGAATTTTAATTCAAGTTTATATATTTTTAGTTGTTGAAATTGGCCGATG